AGAGGAGTAGGAAAAGAAACCCAGAGTACCCCAGCAGGACAATCAATACCATACACACATACATGGGCATCCTGTAGGTGCACGACACTTACCTGAGTGGCCTTGAGCTTCGAGATGAATAGAACTCACCCCCCTTCTCATGTGGTCCTCCTAACCCCTCTAACGCTACCCCTACACTAGTGTCCTATCTCCTAGGAGGGTCTGACTCCAACACCAAAGTGCAACGCCGGATCCCCCGTCGATGCTGAAGATCAACGTAGCAACTTGCAGTCCGTAGATGCTAAGTGGTCGCTGACCCTCGAGCTCGCCTACTTGAGGGCAGCCCTTAAGTTGTTAAGTGTCTCCCTTGAATCAGATTCCAGGTGCGAGTGCCTCTCACTGTTGCCTCTCTCAAATCGCCGCATGAAGTCTCCTCGAAATGTCTCGCCACCCTAATCTCACTCTCAAGCAACCTGGTTAGGTTCTATGTCGACCCCACATGACCTAACCAGGTGGGGGCTCAACCAACCAACCCTAACCCTAAGTGTTGCCTTCGACCACTTAGGTTAGGGTCAGGGCAGCAAAGTCAACGCTCACCAGCAAGTAGGATCCGCTCCGATACCAATGTTATGACCCTGGCAGATTTCGAGATAGACATCCACTGGAAAGTACAATGCCATCCAATTGCAGAAAGAAATGCATGAACTTGAGAGGAGAGAGACAGGATAGAAAAAGTAGTAAGAAAGAAGAAGAAGAAGATGTACACCAGCAAAGACTGACAAGGCGCTTCTTCTTCGCCCAACAATCTCCTCCTCCTTATCTGCCCCTTCTCTTACTCGTACAAGAAATAATAATACAATGTTGAATGACTGATCCAGAATCAATGTCTGAGTCCCTCTTCTACTGCAGGTATCACTTGAGGTCCACCATAGCCATGGCCACCTCCCCACTCTTCACTCTCATAGGCCGAGGCTATGGCTACTACGCTGTGCCCAGATGCCCTGTCTTTTGGTGTTGCCATATCATTGATATATTCTCAAAGGACAACCCAAAGCAGCTATGGCTGCTCTAGCTCAGGACGTCATGCCCAACCCTGCCTTGAGGCTTCTTAGTGTGGCTTCCCCCAGTTGGGGACTCCTTGCTGCAGCGCCCACCAAGGTGATGAAGATGGCTGCCACCATAGCCAGGTAAGTACCCCTGGCGCTCCTCTCGCTTCCTTCCTTCTTCCTCCCTCGCGTCCTTCTCCTTCCTCCCCAGCAGCGCTGCTCCAGCATAGCGCTGCTCCAGCCAGCGCTCTACCAGTGTGTCGCCAAACTTGCACACCGAAAAAGAGGCCGGACTCTTCGCCGGCCAGAAGATATAGTGGCCTGCTTTGCCTCTTGGGCGGTGGCCGAGGGCGGTGGCCGCTCGGCCTCCCAAGCAACCGGTACCTCCTCCCTTTCGGAGGGAAACATCATTGCAGACTCTGATATTGCCCGTACAGGCCCTAGACCCATACTGGTTGGACGGATATCCTCCTAGACCTAACATACAACTACTGGGCCTCTAAAAATGCCACTTTTGTCTTCTTCTGCTTGGCCTCCGGTACGTGCACATCTACCCCTTCCAGGTGCGGTACTGGCCTACCCGTTACTTGAGTGCTTTTCCCGCTGGAACCCCTCAATCTCACGGCCAGAGGTAAGTACTGGCCCTGAGGGCCCAACGAACGAGCAAGTGCCTTGACGGGCCACGCACATACTCGTGCCAACCAGCACTCAGATAGGCACGGTCGCACACACACACCCAGGCCAACCAACACTCAGATAGGCATCGTCACACACACACTCAAGTCATCCAGCACTCAGACAGACATGCAGTCCAGCAAGCGTGCACACACAGACTTAGTAGCAAGCGGGAAACTCAGCAGGGCATTCAGTCTATGGGCAAAACTCAGAAATCAGCTGTGTGTTTCAGTTCATGTATGGACGGGTCATCACACACTATGAGTCAGGGCGTCGAGTTTGATTCCTATCTCAGTCTCTTCCCTAATCTTTCCCGTCCTTGTCTCTGCCGCCATCAGCTCCTTATCCAATTCGCTCGTCTGCGCAAGGGGTCCCTTTCCTCCTCCAACTCTCTCTTTACTGCTTCTCTCTCAGCCTCAGGAACCATCAACTCGGCTTCTCTCTCTGCCCCCATCTCTATAAGTGATGCCCACTCCTTTACCATCTTCTCCAACTCTTCTTGTGTAGATTTACTGGTACTCGCCTCTCCTCTTCTTCTTTGCAGGCCTTCTCCTTCAACCCCTTCCTCTTCTACTTCTTCTTCTACTTTTGCCTCTACTGTTACCTTCGTCTCCTCCTGCTTCTTCTGCAACCTTTTCAATTCTTCCTCCATCTGCTTCCTCTTCGCCTCCTGCTCCTCTCACAGAGCCACCATCTTTGCTTGCTTGATTAATTCCCGCTTCTCCATCTTCTCCTTTCTTCCCGTCAAAAGGGCGGCAGCTCTCTCTTCTTGTTCTCTACTATAGGGAGTGGTGCTCACTCCAGTCCTGGTGGTCACCATGGTGAAAGTTCACAATCACAGACGATATCGCTCCTCAACACGTGGACCAACCAGTCTGAACTCGGATCCAGAACACCTACTGTCTACTACTCACGGCACGTCTACTCTAAGACCGTCAGGACAAGGCTCACTGGCTGATCAGGAGGCATTTAAGGAGATCCCCATAACTTAAGAATTCTTTAACGCCGCAGACAGGACGACGCGATCAGCCGAGTCTCAAGACTTAGACAGCTGGACGCACAGCCCACAGCTCGGAGTTCGGGCCTACCACGCCACACTTAGCAGCCCGCTGGTCAGTACCGGTCCTTGGGGGTCTTGTCCCCGGGATGTGGCAGTTGTCAAATACGGCCTGTAGCCTTACTAAGTCCCATGTGGGTTTGGGCTCGCAGCTCTAGAGTCCTATCGACCTGGACAGAAGTGAGAGGGAGATATGACTGACTTTGACAGACCTGACGTCAGCAAGTACCATGGTGAGGGTGCACATCCATAGGGTAAGGGCTGGGCCAGGGTTTGGAGAGAAGACCGCTCGTCTTCTCGCTCCAGCTTGTTCAACACTCCGGTCAACGGACCTGGTCAACACGCCGGTCAATGGTCTTGGTCAACACTGGTCAACAGCCTTGGTCAACCCTTGGTCAACCTCGGTCAACGCCTGTGCAACGGTCTTGGTCAACCTCTGCTCAATGGTGGTCAACCCTCCGACCTCCTGGATATGGTGGTCAATCTTCTCCTTCGTCGCTCTCTTCTTCTTCCTGCACCTTGGCTATGGCTGCTTGACCTCTCTCTTCATCAACTTTCTTCTTCTTTCTCTCTGCGTCACTTCTTCTTCCTCTCTCGCCGGTCTTCTTCTTCTTCGAGCTCGGCAGCTTTGGCTGCCGTCCACCGTGTCCGCCTCCTCTGTCTCTCTCTCGCTGTCGCTCTCTCTCTCTGCTGCTCCTGGGCTATGGCAGCTATCTCCTTCCTCTCTTGCTGCAGCTCCGACGTGGACAACGGGTACCAGCTTCGATACCGGTGAAATTAGACTGCACTCCTACACGAACTGATGGCAAAACCAAACTCTTTCAACTCAGAATCAACAATGAACTTGGCACTTAAACTCTGTTCAAGTCAACTGTACAGCTTGTGGTTATGGCCGTTGTCAACTGTACAGCTTGCGGCTATGGCCGCCGAACACTGTCTCCACTACCATCCTCACTGTGCCTCATGCACGCACGAACGAGTATCCACCCTGAATATCCGCTCGCTGTACACACACACACACACTGTACACTCTGTTGACGTCAGCAGCTTGGCGGCTATGGCCACCATCGTCTTCCTCACTCCTAGTTATGGCCGCCGTCGTCTTCCTCACTGCCCACTTCAGCTACGGGCACCTGCAGACCTCCACGCACAAGTCACAGGCAGCGCTTCCACATGGTTCACAGGCGAATGATGAATGACTGGCCGCTGCCTCTTTATTTATAGTACTCTGCCCGCGGCCTGGCCCTGCCCCAAACCGCGTGCGCCTGGGCCCCAAACCGCGTGAGGGCTGCCCAAACCGGGTGAGGCCCGGAAGCCTCCAGACACAGGGCCTACTGGGGCAAAACGTGTGGGAGCTACCGCGTGGAACTCCCACTTGCCTGGTACTTGCTGACTGGACAGGTACAGACAGACCTACGACCTTCTAGACTCTACCTACGGACAGACTCTGAGGCCCCTACGTACAGACTGGTAGTGACTTCTAGATAGGCCCTAGCTAGACCTAGTGGTAACGCAGTAACACACTAACCTGCTAAAACGGAGATCTGTGGATCAAAGCCTAACAGCTAACGGACAGACCTACTAACTAACCAAAGGGTTTAGGGACAGGTCACTGGCTCGAACCTCACTCAGCACACAGGTTCAATGTACAGTGTTCAGGAGCAGGTCTAGGGATCAAATCTCAGTGTCTGCAAATGTCGGGTCAACTGGGTGAAACCGTTTCACTCCAAACCACCCTGGCGGAAGTCCTGTGGTCCCAGTAGTGGCACAGGTTCTCTGTAACATGTATCGGCACACCTCTACTGAGGCTCTACCTAGTGTCCACTGAGCCTCTACGTAGCGTCCACTGAGCCTCTACCAGGCCTCTACTGCAGAAGGCATTTGTGGGCAGCAGGACTGTTGTTGAAGGTTTAAATGTCCTATGTCCTAAATTGTTTTCTCATTCTCTCAGCTGACTGAAGCGGAGTGTGTGGTTCTGAGATTGCTGTGGCACATGCATGGATCACAACAAGTTGGTGATTGAAAAAGCACACATTACCATTTGGGTTTGTGCATATCGGCATCTGTGTGTGGTGAGTTGCATTTCTCTCTTCGAGTCTTTGGGAAAAACATTAGGGTAACAAATCACTGAATATTTTGTCGTTCCATCTTCCCATGTATTAGCATGTTCGGCTGAGCAATCTGCGCCTTATGTTTGTTTGTTGTGTTTGTGGCGGGGAACTGTGTCATTGCTTTGCAATCAGTGACTTAACAGCTATTTTTGCCACATCCGATGAAGTGGCCTCATGGGTTGACAAACGGAACTACGCTCGCACAGCAGGCTTCCGGCAGCTGCAGCAGCAAAGAGAGCAAGAGGAGCTGAAGCGCATGGGGATTACTGATCAAGCTCAAGCATCATCAGCGGCATCGTCATCCTCAGCATCACCATCAGCTCCCCAAACGGCGAGGTCGTCGCCAACGCCACCTCCAGGACAATTCCATTTCATCTGTGAATGTTTCTTCCTCACTGCCAGGGTTCTCAACCTTGGCTTATTAAAAGTCGTAAATGTTATGAAGGAGCTGTCAGAGGTAAGTGGCTGTGCTCGATTATCCTGGAACCAGCCACATCTGTCATGTTGTTTGTTTCTAGTAGCTCCCCATGATCTTTGATGGTAGTGGTGATTTGGAAATGTTAGCTTTGCTAGGACGCTCTTGATGCAGTGTGTTGTGTAAGAAAGGTGCTGGCATGCATTAGAAAAGCATGGAACCCAACTGCAAACAAGCACCAATAAAAAACTGAAGAACACCAAAACCTCACAGAAGATTTACGCCAAGCCTTGAACAACAATTCAGCACAGACAAAGATGAAACCACCGCCGGACACTATTATCCTACAACAATTGAGTTCAATTACAAGCTGTTGATGGCCGCTATCGCCGGCAAACCCAAACAGGTAATCTCACTTCCCTCTCTCTCAACCCCCCCCCCC